TCCTTTCTCTCAACTTTACATTTTTTTTGGGGTGGGTATCAGTAACACATGACAGAGTTGTCTAATCATTCTCCTGTGAGGGGACACTGGCTGTTTCTACTAGTCTATTATGGATAAGTCGCTTCCTACAGACACTTTTATACAGACCTTTTGGTGGACATAAACACATTATTATTATTATTTGGTTCTATAACAACAGACTGCTATGTCACAAAGTAGGTTTGTGTTCAATTCCAGTAGATGAGGCCAGAGTTTGGAAATGAGAACAATGTTTTAGAGTTCACATAAAGATGTACTGAAACTTTGGGGGGAGGGGTGTCTCGGTGTGTTACCCAGACTGGCCTTGAACTCCCGCACTCAGGCCATCCTCCTGGGTAGCCTCCTGAATACTGAAACTAAAGACTTGTGAAGACTTGGGCTAACATGCCTGGAAATAACTTGGGGGTGTGGGGGAATATTATTTTAAGGTGTGTTACTTTTCTTTTTATGATGCGTTTATTTAACTCTGAGAATCTGTGATTCTTTGTCTAAAACAAAAAAAAGTCCTAATAAAGAGCTGAACAGCCAATAGGCAGACTGGGCTGGCAGGCTGTAGTTTAAATAGGAGAACTCTGAATAGAAGGAGCAGCAATGAGAGAACAAGGGAGAAGGATGTCAGGGGCCAGCCATGGAGTCAGAATGAAAGTAAGATATACACAAGTAAGAAAAGGAAAAAGGCCAGGGGCAAAAAGAAATCGGGATAATTTAAATTAAGAAAAGCTGGCAAGAAACAAGCCAAGCTAAGGCCGGGCATTGCTAAAGTGCTAATGTGAGTGATTTATTTGGGAGCTGGGTGGTGGGTCCCCCAAAAAGTCAAAAGAGTAAAACACAACAATGAGGAGGGTGGACACTAGAGATAAAATTCGGGGCCTCATGCATACAACGCATAGGTTTACTACTGAAGTCCGTCATATCAAGGTTTTCAACTGAAAAAGCTCCTGAACTGAAATACACCGTCTTGGAGGCTATTCTCTGTACCGGGTAACACAGGGTGCTCATAACTCATATCCAAGGTGCATAGGGGTGTGTGGCAGGAAAAGACTATTCTACAAAAGTCAATTTCACTATAATTTAATATAAAAATTGACATTAATGCCCTTACTTAGCCTTACTGTGGTTTACTGCCATTTGTGAGAGCTTGGTTGAACAGAATCACTGAGAATTTAACTCAACTAGCTTTCACCAAACAGACAAATGACTAAAAACTTCTACACAGATAATATTAATGAATACAAGCATACAGATTTAAAAAAATGGCTCAATTGGGATGTGTAACCTAAAAAACAAAACCTGTTTAGAAGATTAAAAGCTGTGACCACTTGATCAATTGGGTCCCACAAGGAGCAGGCCAAAATCATTCTAAAAACTATGGCTTAAAAATATGGATTTTTTTTAACATTACTGTTAATACCTCGACCATAAAAGACATGAACTCTAAAATACCCTCATCTCACGTCATTCCCTTTGGATCATATTCATGTTTATTTTGTAATGTACATAGTAGTAGTATAAAATAAGATGTATACACAATTTTAAGGTAAATTTACATATATGAGAAATGCATACTGAAATTTTACCAACAGGATACTCAGTCAAGAGTTCACATCCTTGTTTAGCGCACTTTAACTTTTTAGTTTTAAGCTAGCAAACCTTTATACACTGATGAATTTCTAGTTTCTAAAGCCATATACAATAGTCCGCAGAAATGTCTAGCTGCCTTTAATGTTAAAATAACAGAGGCAAACAGTAGGAGAGAAGGGAAGAAGACAGGACTGGCCAGGGAGAGACACGAGGGACATTTCCTAGTTACTGGTACTATCTCTATCTCAGTAGGTACTTTTTATTGTATCTGTGTATGTATTAGTCAAACTCAGTGAATGAACACTTATGCTTTCCTTATGTAAATTTTACCACATATGGAAAAATCCATTAAATATGCTGACCTCTAGTTAATGACAAGCATATGTAAGAGTAAATTATAATAATGTCTATAACTTACTTTGAAATATATCACATTAAAATAGACTTCTATATGGATAGAGGGATTGATATATGAACAGATATGTGATAAAACAGTATAATTAATAAAAAATGTAGGTGAAAGATACATGGATGTTCACTGAATAATTGAGTATCTCTGCAGTTCTTCATGGTAAAATAATTTTCTCAACACATCTACTAAAGAGCTGAAAACTGACCGACATTAACTTAAAATGGTACAGTGGTAAAAATGTAAATTATAAATCTATCATGGAAAAGGTACGAATATTTAAGCACGCTGCTTTGGGATACAGCAGTTCCTTATCCTCAAGGTATGTCTCAAGACTCACAGTGGAAGCCTGGAATGGGCACAGTACTATAGCCTATAAACACTGTTTTTTTTTTCCCCTTGAAATATACATAACCATGAAAAAAAGAAACTTATAAATTAGGTTAAGAGATTAACAATAAAGAAAAATTAAAACAATACATTGTAATAAAAGTTACTTGAATGCAGTCTTTCCCTGCCTCCCAAAATACTGTATAGCTGCACTGTACTTCTGAACTGTGGGTAACAAAAACACAGATAAAGGAGACTAATAAACTCTTTATGTAGTGAGAATTATCCTTATTTTACAGACTACTAAATTGAAATTCAGAAAGACTATAGAAGTAGACCAGACCATTAAAAGTCAAGGCCAGGCAGGAATGGAAGACAACTTTCCCAGGTCCTGGGTCCTCTGGACCCACATTTCTCATTAGGTGCCACCCTGAACCAAGCATCTTCCTCCCAAGCATGGAAACTGTTCTTCCCGTCCTGTGCCGACCAGCTCTGACTTCTCAGAAGCTCCCTCCTACAAGACCCAGCTTCTCCTGCTGCCCAGCTGTGATTCTTGGGGGCCGCACACATTGCAACCCCCACATTACATTTTATGTGCGGGGAAAGGGTTGGAAATATGACGGTATACTTTAACTATCAGTGGAAAGCTCTAAGTAGGTATAAAACGAGGGAAAACGCTGCATGAAACTGAGATGAGACCATGTGCAATCAAGAGTAGGACCTCGAAAGAGCTTTTTCTAACCTTCACCCTTCCCTGGAATGCAAAATATTGCTCATCGTAAAATAATTTTCATAGTCAGACCCTTTCCTTAAAGTTAAATCGAAATATGCCGGGTTTTCTTCCATGCACCGTTTTAAATCTGAAAACCTAATGGACTTTTTCTCATCTCCCTTTCTATCTCGGTTTGGAATTATACCTTCAGGGATTTTTTTTTTTTTTGTACAACTAGATAAACAACTAGAAACACTTCTGTAGCACTTGGTTTCACAAATTACCACAGGTGGCCAACCTGTGAGAGCAATATGCTAATGTGAATGTCAGTATTTTCTTTGGGGACACGAGAAGAAATTTTTCAAAGGCCAGACTGTAAGGAATGACCGTGGCCTTCCACTTTTGACCATGCACTATCTCCTCAAAGCTCTGTTATTACCTCTTACTTGACAGGTGCGCACGGGGCTCCCGAAAAGACTCGCCCTTGTGAGTATTGTATACTATTCTGTAGCATCAAAAACAACAAAACCATACATCAAGCAGTAATCCTGCTCTGAAAAGCTCGCCTTATTTTAGGGCCTGGAGAACTTCTTGCACCCTCATGGAGTCTGGGTGAAGCTTTTCTCCTGATGCCTGAGGTTGTTAGGTTGGGAGGAAACCGGAGGCGACTATGTTGGAGCTGCAGACATGGACGTGCAGAGAGTTAAAATGATGGGTTCCTAACAGTGCCTGAAACACACGCCAGATCCCCGAAATTCCTGGCCCAGTGTCCTTTCCATTTTAAAGCCATGCCAAAAACAAACGTTTACAAAAATGACTATGTCCATCCATTACCTCAACTTCACTAAATTTCAGCCTGCCCCTCTTGATGTCACTTCCTTTCCTGAATGAGTGTGTTTTCCCCTTGGTCTTGTTAGCTTCACTTCATTACCACACAACACTCAATTCGCGCTCCCAATTTTGGCCAGCTTTTCCCTTGGCTATTTTTGTTCCTCAGGGACATCAACATTGTTTCCAAGATGCCTTGATTATCCTTTAGATTTCAGGCAGTCAACTGCCGACTATTACAAAACTGAAGGTAAAAGTGGTTTATTTTTAAAACATGAAGCGCACACACACCCGGCAGTGTGCTTCTTTCTTAGTCAGGGAGCGTAATAAAAATGCCGAATGCCAGGTATTAAATGTAGATGCTTTCGAGAGAACACCCTGGCTATTTAGGAAGATAGCTATCGTGGGCTGTGGTTCGAGGCCAAGAACAAGGTTCGGAAACTGACCTCAAACAAATATGGAGGTGAAAAGGCGCAAGGAGCTTCTGGAGCTCATCAGCCTGTGACAGGCTATTTGGCGTCAGTTTCTAAGGACGTGGGGCACCGGGAGGCACCTGGACCGGGAGGCACAGGCGGGGCACAAGGGGATCGCGCTCAGGGAAAACTCAACAAGTCTGGAAGGTGAAGGATGGCACCGGGGTAGAAGATGCTGCCACTAGGCTCCCGCTGGCCTCTGCTCGACCAGGACTGAGCGCCACGGCCGACACTGTCGCCGGCTGGGGGGGGGGGGGGGGGGGGACGACGACAGCTTTTGGCTCTCCTGCCTCGACGTTCACCCGGGACCAGGGGTGTCTACCCAGGACCGTGCCGCGAGCCGGCGCCTCCACCCCGGGCCCGCTCCCCGGGTACGATGGCGACGTCGGGCCTGTCCGGCCGGACCCGCCTTCCAAAGTGGGCGTCACGATGGCCGCCGAGCGGGCCGGATCCCTCGCCTCGGCCCCAAGTCAGGTGCCGAGCACGGCTGGAGGCTCAGCCCAGGCGGCGGCCGGCCGGGCGGCGGGGCTCGCGCTGAGGTGCTGATGGGGAAAGGGGGCGGGCGCGCCATCATGAAGGGAAAATGGTGGGCGGGCGGGCCCGCGCGCGCGGCCGCCGCCGTACTCACCCGGGCGGGCCAGTGCGGGTAGCCCTTCATCTTGGCGAAAACCAGGTCTCCCGCTTTGTACTCGCGGGGCCGCGGGCGCGCCATCCCGGGTCGCCTCCTCTGCCCGCTCGTCCTTGGTCGTCGCGGCGAAGATGCCGAGAGGCCGCCCCCTCCCGCAGCGCCCCGTGCGGGCCGACGGACCGCGCCGCGCGCTCCCCGCCGGGCCTCGAGCCGCCGCTCCGACGAGAGAAAGCGACGAGGCGGCGGCCGAGGCGAGCGGCGTCTGGCTGGGTGTGCGGTGACGGGGGGACCGCAGGCCCGGCAGATCCCCGCCCGGCTGCGGGGGAGAGGAGCACGCGTCCGGCTGCGCCGAATCCCGCCGCCGCCGCCGCCGCCGCCGCGTGCCGTTCACAGCAGCCGCGTCGCCAGCCTCTGGCCGCCGCCGCTGCCGCCTCCCCGCCGGGCTTGCTGGGTTCCGTGCGAGCTCCGGGCCTCGCGCCTCCTCCGAATTCCTCCTCGGGCAGCGACCGCAAACACGATCTTATTATTGTTCTCGCGCGCGCTCAGCATCCCCCCCCCGCCCTCTCGCTCGCCCGCCCCGCTTCCCTCCCCTCGCGCGCCGGCCGGTTAATTCCTAGGTGCACGGCCGGCTTTCGCGGAGAAACCGCGCGCGCCGCCCGGCTCGCAGCTCGCTCGGCCGGCTTGGTGGTGGGCGCGTCCTCCCGCAACAGCGAAGCCGGTGCCCGGCGGGTGGGAGCGCCTACTCCGAGGACGCCCGCCGCCTGCTCTCTTTTGTTCTTGGCCGGGAGCTGCCTGGCGTAGCCCAGCCAATCACTACCCGGCCGCCCCTCTTCCCTCCTGCCCGCGGCCACCCCCCACGGGCTGCACCCCCCCCTTCCCGACCGCCCCCCACCCACGGGCCACTTTCGTGGGTGTTCTCTGGTGAGTGGGGGGGTAGGGGGACGACAAAAGGCTCCCGAGGCCTGGGGATGGCCGCGCGGGGGACTCTGCCTGGTCACTAGGCTGCTGGAAAGAGCTAGCGTTTTTTTGCCCCAGGTCTGCCCTTAACAATGAATGCAGTATGACCCACCTAGGGCGACCTGCTTCACTGGAGTCAAGGCCAGTCTTCACCTTGACACAGTTGGATTTCGAACATGGACCCATAGCCTTTATGCTTCTCTATGTGGGGGCTTCATGGGTCAACAGCTTTGGGGGGGAAAGATTTAGCTTGACCAAGTCACTTGTTTTCCGTTCTGGCAACACGCTGGACAGCAGCTTCTGGTGATTTCTTGCTACAGGTCAGTAGGTCTAGAACGTAGGTTCGCCGTTGTTTTATTTGTCAATCAGCTGACTGCTTTCAAAGACATTCTGGGAGCGAGACTCTTGATAACATCTTGGTGAGTGGTAAAAAAGAGAATTCACTCTTTTCCGAATTGGCCCGAAGGATGAATGAATGCTGCCCCTTCCTTCCATCACTAGAACAGACCTTCTAAGAAGGTCCGCTGCTGCGGCTGTGGCCTGCACGTCGCGCAGAGGACAGTTCTGGCTTGGGGACTACCCTCTTTGCCGTTTCTCCCCTCTGTAGAAGGTGGGTTTTCCAGGCATCTGTTTCCCTGGCTTCCGCTGCAGAAATTGTTTTAATGCAGGCTTCCAGTGGACGGGACCGCAGTCTGCAGACTTTCTGTGGAGTGTTTACTTTGTTCACTGTACTTAGCCATTAAGAGATTCTTTTATACATCTCTTAATCCCCCCACACCATACACACATACACCCCCTCACCTTTTCTTTTTGCATCTCTTAATTCTCCCGCCCCCTACCCCCACCCCTCACCTTTTCTGTGGGCTCACCTTCTCTTCTGCTGCAAAATAAATCTAGGTCTTTCCCCTTTGCAGTGATGGCCTGATAATGTACCATCATCGGGTGCATGGTATGCTTCTAGAAATCACGTCACACCCATTATAGGCACCCGTAGAGTGTTTCCTAGGCCCTCATGTCAAAGCCACATCTCTTGACAGGCTACCAAAGCCCTAAAGGTGCAAAGGCGGAATGGTCCAGTCTCCCGGTGGACTCAGGGTGGTCATGAGTAGAGGAGAGAATCAGTAGAAGTTACCATTGGGAAAGCCATGGAAGGAAGTTGAGCTGGGAAGTAACATGACCGTAGTTGGTCTAGACAGAATACTCTGGTCGCCAGTGTAGGCTAGGTGGATCGGAGAGTGAGGCATGGTCTCAGACGACTTGCTGACTCCCGAGTGGCAAGTAGGTAGGAAGATGGTGATTGAAATCTGATTCCTTGGTTTCTAGACAAAATAACAGCATTGTGGGCATTGGGGAGGGTTAGGAAGTCTGTGAAGAATAGGCGGGTTTGCAGATAAGACCACAAATGGTTTTGGATGTGTTGAGACTTCTGTGGGTCCTGTTTGGTGGGCTTTTGGTTAAGGCAGAATGTAGAAATTTGAATGACATCTGTCAACAGGTGGTTACTATGGCACAGTGTGTCGAAGGAGAGAAGCAATTGCCAAATTTGGAGACAGGTCACCAAACACTTGGAGTCAAGTAGAAGTTCAGTGTCGTAGGATCCAGAGTTAGAAGGCATTTCTAGAAGAAAGGGGATGCCTGGGTAAATGGCACAGAGGATAAGCGAGCTGCTGGAAGAGATGGGCCCATCTATTATGCTGACTGGGAGGTCACTGGTGATCTTTTGAGGATGGTTTGAATAGCGGTGGAAAGAAACCAGAGCGGTGGCTTGAGGTGTGTCAGAGGCAAAAACGTGGATGCAGAAAGTGCAGACCGCTCATTCTCATGAAGTAAACACATCAGGTTCTAATAAAAACTAAATAAACACCAGTGGAGAAAAGACAGCAAGAAAGCAGGAGGGGGCCATTCTATATGGTGCTTGGCTTGTTTTTAAAGATAGGAAAAACAGGAAACAGCTAACCAAGTGGTTAGAGGTAGTGTAAGAGGGGATAATGGACAGGACTTTGGTTATTTTGAGAAGGCAGACATGTCCTCCAGTCTTTTGGTTTCTTGTTTTCAGTTGAGCCTGGCCTTACTGCTCAGCACATATTGCTCAGGCCCTAAGCAAGCCAGACTTAGTAACACAAAAGCAGGGACTCCTCTTATGGGTTGTCTTTGGATGATGATCAGGACTGCCAGATGCGTCTGGCTAAGGGACCGTCTGTCTCTGCAGCCAGACTGGATGCTGACCTCCAGGGGAGGAAACACTGCAGGTTTCACTGAAGGCCTGACTGGTCTCTCCACTTTATACAAAGGACGGACGCTGTGGAAATGCTCAATCCAATATTTGACAGATAGTAAGAAACCCTTTAGAGGTATCAAACGATCCAGATGTATTTATTTAGTGAGTGTGGTCCCAGAAGTTGGTCTGCTTGCTATATTAGCACTTGTGAGGCAGAGGCAGGAGAATCAAAAGTTTAAAGCTAGCCTCGGATACAAAATGAGTCCAGCCTGGGCTATATGAGACCATAACTAAGAACAACAACAAAAGCACATTAATTTTATTTCTGAAACTTGGATGGAAATCCACTTAAAAATTTTAATAGTATCCATGTTCGTTGATTACTTTAAATTTCAGTATTCTCAAATTCCCCTGGGCTAATACTTCTTTCTGCCTCTGGCTCGTGTTTATTTTTGCAATCCTGTGTCACTCTCATCCATCCATGTATTTTGTTGAGTTGGTCCTGCTTTCGCCTTCTCCTTCATATGCTAAGTTAGCATCCAATAAGGGTCCAGTCATTCCTTCACACCCTGCCCTTAAATTCACCCATTCCAACTACCTGTTATTTTGCCTGAAATTATGTATGAAGTGGAATATATATATATATATATATATATATATATACATATATATACACCTGTACACACACACAATTTAGACAATGCCGAGCACACCGTAACTGCTCATTAACTGTTAACATGGCAAGGGTCAAGAGTAACTGAAAAGGATTCTGGGAAAGATGCGCCTAATCTACCACACACAGTCATTGCGTTAGGCAAGAGCCCTTGTGACCTTGCATAAGTCCATTTCAATGGACTCTGCTACTAGAAGCATCTCTTAAATGCCTGCAGCTCAATCCCAAGTCTTATCCTCCTTGAGAGAATGGACTTACAGACACTGGCATCTTCTTGGAAGTCATAGCAAACTGCTGTGAGAGAACTCCCCCATCACTGCCCACCTTTCCCAGAATCCTTTTCAGTTACTCTCAACCCTTGCCATGTTAACAATCAATGAGCAGTTACTGTGTGCTCAGCACTGTCTAAATTATATATTATATATATAAATATACACACATATATATTCCACTTCACACTTGATGTGTGCATTGGTGGTGGTGTCAGATGGGCAGAGGGCACTATGAAGCTTACATGGGCTAGAACTGGAGAGATCAGGGGCCAGGCAGCATTAGCAGAGTGGGAATGGGTAAGAGAAGCAACCACACGGAGGTCAGAAGGTAAAGAAGCAGAGGATGCTCTCACGATAATCTAGGGTGTAGCAAAAGCCACAGACGATGCTGCTTGGACTGCCTGAAGTTACTGCAGGTCTTGGGAATTCTGAATCTGAGCTTACAACCTATTTCATTGAGGTCATTTCCTCTCTTCCTCTTTCATCATCCTGTTCCAGACCGGGGGAGAAAGTGGATAGGTTTGATGAGTTAGTTGCTACTTGGAGAGAAGAGATTCAAGATGTTGAGTACATTAAATGCTCAAAGAATCTGCAAAATTGCCTGTCATTTTTGTTAGCGTAGTTCTAATGTTAGTGTGTATGTAGATGAAGAAAGCATTAGGTCAATATCAGTACCCATTCCTTCATTTATTCAGCGAATATCTGTTGAATACTGGTGTGCACTGGTCATTTCCTAGAGACCCAGGACCACAGAGAGCAAAGAGAGGTGGTACCAGGTGCAAAGTCATGAACGCAGTGGTGCGGGATTCTGGGGAGACTGGGCTCTCTGACTTTGGGTCTCTCAAGGGGATGTGGAATAAACAATGTAGGGGAAATGATGGGGAGACGGGGCTCTCTGACTTTGGGTCTCTCAAGGGGATGTGGAATGAAGGGTGTAGGGGAAATGATGGGGAGACGGGGCTCTCTGACCTTGGGTCTCTCAAGGGGATGTGGAATGAAGGGTGTAAAGGGAATGATGTTTTGATAGTTCTAAGCTCGGGCATTCAGAGGCCTCGTGCTTCCGTCCTGAGTCCTCTTGGAGTCCCAATGCCATATCAAGAATTGTGAGTACTTTGCTGCTGTGGAAAGGGGGTGGGGCATATGGAGAGATGGTGTCCTAGGTAGCTTAAACTGTCAACATGACACAGCCTAGTCCGTCACCTGAGAGAGGAGTCTAGTTGGTGGACTGTAAGATCAGATTGGCCTGTGGGTGAATCTGGGGGGATGTCTTGATTTACTTTGATGTGTATGTGTGGAGCCCGCCGTGGGTGGCAACATCCGAAAGATTCTGTCTCCGAAAACCAAGTGGAGGACTCCTGAGAAACAGCACCTACGGTTGACCTCTAACCTCCACACACGCAAAAATAATTTAAGATTTATTGTTTGTTTATATGATTGTTCTGTCTGCATGTACAGATCCAATGTATAATGGACATTGGATCCCATTATAGATGGTTATGAGTCACCCTGTGGGTGCTGGGAATTAAACTCAAGACCTCTGGAAGAGTAGCCAGCGCTCTTAACCACTGAGCTTAGGTTAATCTCTCTAACCCT